GCAAAGCATGGGTCGCGCAATGGCACAGCGACAGATCATGGCATAATGACGACATGCGTGCAAATGCGGCAGCTTCGTCACTATTTGTCGGAGGTGCAGGGTCCAAATCGCCGCAAGGTCGAATGACCCGGACACAATCCTGATTTCTCTGGTAAAAGATGCTGGCAGCCGATCGCCGCGGCAATGGGCAATTCATCACTTAGGCCTGGAGTAAGCGCCTTCCGACCTGCGTGCTTGCCGAAAGGGCTGTGGCAGGTCCAACTGGCAATCTCACCGAGCGACGACGCCAGCGTGTCTTCGACGCAGTGGAAGGACAACCTGCAAAACTTTGCGAGCACTTGCAACACTTGTCTGAGGAAGGAGCTGCCGATGCAAGTGCTGAAATACGTGCTTTAACATCTTGCGGATCATCCGACAGTCTGTCCGCATTTGCGGATTGTGGAGGTTTTTCTCGCGAGACAGACCGTATGGCAGTTCTCTAAAAACGTGTTTGAAGCATTCAATCCGTTCATCCTGGATGAGAACCTTCCCATGAAGGAACAAGCGGCCAGAAAATTCATGGAGCAAGATGTTACAAACGCTGGAGGCAGACGCTTGGTCAGCTTGAATTGGTCGCTGATAAGACATTTTACGGCGTGGCTTTCAGCCGGACCTTTTGCCATCTTGTGTGCAGTGCATTAGTCTCGTTACATCTTGCGGTCTGGATGGCAGTATTTAAGCGGCCAGGCGATTCTTGGCATGAAGTCGGCCAGTCTTCTACAACCTGGTTGAGATGTTTATTTCTGCGCGTCTGATCTGCCCATAGTGCATTTACAACTTCACCTGTGCCACTCTTCTGCTCAAACTTTGAGGCCAAGTTGGCAAAACAGCTGTGCACAGAAAAACCGAACTCTGTCCGGTTTGCACTTCAATTGCATCGCTTTTATCGCAGTTCCAACCCCTCGAGAAGCTTCTTCGCAATTCTGAAGGCAAGCACAGTCTCGGTTCACTGCAATTCTAACTCAAAGAACTGGCCTTCCAAGGCCTGGAACAGGAGGCATTCAAGAAAGATTGCAGCCAGATGTTTGTGCACTGCGCAACGCAGCCAAGGTTGGGGCAAGAGCAGTTTTTGAGATTCCAGATTTTTCAGCGATCAGGCTTCGTCGACGGCGGTTGCCGCACTGGGTCGCGCACATCCTTGCCACTGCCACTGCAGGACCTAAAGGTTGGTGCAAGGAGCTGAACACACACCACCTGCGACCCTGGAGCCTTGTGCGGACAAGCAGGTGGAAGTGTGAGATGGAGTGACCTTCAACCTGAAACCCAAATGCCCCAAACCCGAGAGGCGCCAAAAACTCATGTCAGGTCTCTTTCTTTTTGGCTCTTCTGCAAGTTGGTGAGCATGCACGCAGGCGCTTAGTGCTCATGGGCATCACCCCATATAATGCCATCACCTCCCGCCGAGATGGAAGCGGTGCCTTGGACAGTCATCCAGGGCCCATGTTTTGCAGCACTTCACGATAGAAGTACACCGATATATATATATATA